ACTATTTGATTCTACCTTAATTTAAAATTAAATTTGACTACTATATCAGTAATAATATTATTAGTATTAAAGCGAATCAAAAGTGTCGTATGCCATACTGCCTTGTTCCAAAACACCTGCTTAAAACGCCTGCTGTTTTCTGGCTTAAAGGGCGCACAGTCGTTGCACAATATATATAATTTAGACTTGGACCTAATGTCTCAAGGTTATACTCAGTAACCAATTACAGTAATGAAACTATATAAAAACTACATGCAATGACAATGCATTTACGGTAACAAAGAAATCAAACATCCTTCGTTCAAAGTAAAGGTACATATTTATATAATTAAAATTTAAATAATTAAATATTTATAAAATCAAGTTATTATATAAGTTAAGTTATGGTAGGCAGCGGCTTGGTTCTGCCCCTGGCATGCTGGAGTCCATGGGCGACGGTAACCACTCATTATTGGATGGGCAGTATGCTAGTCTGCCTGCAAAGGCAATAAAAAATCTATAGTAAAAATGAATGAAATTTCTATGTGGTTTTTATAGTGTAAACATATACATATTTTTGTTTATCTTCTCTAGGTTTAGATCCAAACTCGAGTAAAGGATGGGGAAGCTACTTGCCGTGGCCTGGAGGGAAGTGATTCGGTAAATACATCGGTACCTTTGTGCACTAGTGACATCTGTGATCGAAACGTATGTTTCGCCTTGTCAAGCGGCTTAATTCAGCGTTTTAATAATAACATAGGAGTAAATATTTAATAAAATATATGTACTAATATAATTTTGGATTATTCTAGTTTTAAAAGAACAGCGGTCAATCAGTGTGGCTGCTTTGAAAAAAAATTTAATGTTGTATAAACTTCAATTCGGAATATAAGGGAAGTGTTTTAAATAGAAGCTTACATTTTCTTTTTTTTAAGTTTAAACAATATTTTAATTTCATTTTCAATTACCATACATTCCACAATTATTCGCCTGATCACTAGGGTAACTGTGCCATCACCGGGTTGGAATTTGAAAGAAACATAACAAAGAAGTCAGATATGTATTATTATTATTTTCTAAATGTAATTTTATTTATTGCATTTTCAAGTGAAGATTATGTTGGAATTAAGATACACCCAAACGTATGATAAAAATATTATAACACGAATTATATTTCTTTATTATTGTATTTTCATTCAAAACTACTTACGGTTTAATTTCTGACGATTACTTGTCCGATGACACGAAAACTAAACGCGAGATTAAATCGTAAAAATAGTTTAAATTTATGATTATCACTAATAAAATAATTTATATACCATGACATGTTACAGTTGATTGATTGAAATTAATGCGAATGTATGTAACGCATTCAGCTTACTGTAGTATGTAGTGAAATATTTAGATTATGTAAATAAAATTAGCAGATTGTAAATTTTTATGCAAATGTTTTATTAAAAATCATATTCAGATAAATTATACCGTTAGTTACTTAGCTTCAATTTCTATGTTAATATAACTTTTATTTGTCAAGTCTATATAAAACTTTTGTAGCTTTGCAGTTTATTGTTATTCCTGTATATTTTTATATTGTTTAAATACAAAGAATTATATTCAAATAAATTTTGAAATGATTTGATTTTATTGCCCTGCTTGGGAAGACGCCTGACTGCTCCTGAAAATTTTGTACTTTCTTAACTGCTATAGACACTAGCAGCTCTTTTTTATTTCTACACTTTTTTTTTTGTAATTTTACTACACTAATGGATAAACTTACATCTTACTTGGTATTGGGGGCTATTGAAGCTTATAGACATCCCAGCCTGAATGCAGCCGCGACCGCACCTTATACATGCGATGGAAGTCTTGATTGTGTGTAAAACGGCTATCCATCGCATCTAAACGTGCCAATACTTCGCCTTAAAATGGGAGTTGAGCATGGTACCCACCCGTACGGACCTTCCGGAGTATTTTTTTTCTTTTATTGCTTTAATGGGTGGACGAGCTCACAGCTCACCTGGTGTTAAGTGGTTACTGGAGCCCATAGACATCTATAACGTAAATGTGCCACCCACCTTGAGATATGAGTTCTAAGGTCAGTATAGTTACAACGGCTGCCCCACCCTTCAAACCGAAACGCATTACTGGTTCACGGCAGAAATGGCAGAGTGGTGGTACCCACCCGCGCGGACTCACAAAAGGCCCTACCACCAGTAATTACGCAAATTATAATTTTGTGGGTTTCATTTTTATTACACGATGGGTAATTACAAAACACACGGTATCCACTATTATATTCACCTAAGAAACTGTCACGTTGCACCTCTATCAAATTACATACTTCACCCCGACGATGAGGCAACGCACAGCGCCTTTGTCCTAAACATGTCATTTCGGATCGTCTCGACCCACTTTCGGTGCTTTTACTGGTCACCTTTCTCGTCGAACCCGTCGCTTGCGATGAAGGGTTCGGCAAGCAAATTAACCCTTAGACACGGCCCACTGAGTTTCTCACCGGATCTTCTCAATGGGTTGCGTTTTCGATCCGAAGCACTACTCTTGCAAGGGCTACTGTTAGCAAATTCACCAGGTTCGAGCTCTGTGACTCGTCCGGTTACGCTGACATTACCCCTCGAGGTAACCAGAAAATGTAGAAAAAAAGGTACTTTTAGGCCTTCCAAGCAACCGGGGGCCAGGGAAGAGATTACGCTCGCATATCCCGGCCCCTGTAGGTGGCGGCTTCCCCCGGTGAAGGTCACGGGGTGACCTGAGGGGTTCGAGGCCGCGCGGCGCGCTACCAGTACTACCACGCTGCCAAAGAGTATAAATGTGATAAAAGAGCAACCGGCTGGCGGTGTATCGCGTCCCGACCCGGCCCGCTTAATACGTTCGGCCTCCGTACCGAAACCGTACACCTGAAAACGCATTGGTCCTCGGGAGCACGGGCGACCTAAGGGGTGCTTGTGCATATACATCGTCAACGTAACCACGATCACTCTGACAAGAGTGGTCGACTAAGAAGAATTCATTTTTTATTTTGAACTTTAGTTTATGATGTATGGTGGACCCTCTTTTTATTACTATTCATAAAAAGCCTATTAATTAAATTAAAATTAATAAAAATAATTACAGATAAATTAGGATTTTACATTAAAGATTTTTTTTTAACTAGTTTAATAAAATCAAAGAAATGTTTACAAGACTTTGCCTATTTAGAATACTGGTGGTAGGACCTTTTGTGAGTCCGCACGGGTAGGTACCACCGCCCTGCCTATTTCTGCCGTGAAGCAGTAATGCGTTTCGGTTTGAAGGGTGGGGCAACCGTTGTAACTATACTGAGACCTTAGAACTTATATCTCAAGGTGGGTGGCGCATTTACGTTGTAGATGTCTATGGGCTCCAGTAACCACTTAACACCAGGTGGGCTGTGAGCTCGTCCACAACCAAAGCAGTAAAAAAAAAAAAATTTTTAAAGAATGTATTAGTTATAGTTAAAATACGCATTGATTGATCTATAAATCTATACTTGAGGAACCCACTGAGTGTTTCTGAATCGAAGAAAATTGAGCCCCTTTCGTCCGTCCTCAGATAAGACGAAAGTTCTTTAAAAATTTTCTTTCTTTCTTTCTTTTTTTCTTTAAAATTCTTTAAAAAAACGGACTATAAACCTCCCAAATTAAACTTTAAGCCTATACGTTAATCCTTTGGCAATCTTAAACTTAAACACTGGCTATTTTGCTTAAAAACTATGGACAGTTTAAAAGTAAATCTATTATTTCCGTTGTCGTAAACAATTTCATTCCTTATTATACATTTTTTTTAAATCAACCGTTTACATTATATTTCGCTTTACATAAAAAAGACAGAGCTATTTATAGCTAACTGCAAAACATTTAATTTATCTGAAAAATTATGCTAAAACGTTCAATAAGTAGCTTTCTTGATTTTATTGATTCTATTTTACCACTAACTGAATAACGCGCATGCCCGGGGACCTGAGAAAATCTGGCTGCTGACTGAGGCTACACAGGTGAGCTTTATTTATTTATTATGTTTTTAGTAGTTTTTTTTGCTATAAGCCCGCTAATTGTAGTTTGTAATTAATATTTTTTTTAAAGTAAGTAACCGTTTATTAGAAAATGTTTGAAAAAAATGGTTGGCACACCGGTGTTTTATTTACACCAAGTTTGATTTTGTATTTGAGTACATAATATTTAATAAACGAAATACCTATTTTTTTAGTTGAGAAGGAATATTTTGAATATTAAATCAGTTTTACGCGAATTTTTTAAGATAGTAATTTCTATTTGTAGATTGCAACTAAGTACTGCTCTTTGTAACAGTTAAATTAAACTTTAAGCGGAAAAATCTTGACTTTCGTACGGACCAATGATAATTGTAACTGGGTTTTATCATACAAAATTGCGTACTCATACGTAATTAAATCTCCTTTCGGCATTTTACAGTAATATTGGACTCTTGCTCAATTCTCATTACAAGCACGTGGATACACGACCCATACATCACACATTGCACGACTTATAGTTTGTCTATGAATTTACTGTTGATTCCTATATTTAAATCGCTGCTCACAAACAACTCTGAGTTATGTTCTATACTTATTTTAGGACTAGTGCATTATCTTTACATCAAATGAGATGAAATCTAGAGTAAGTATTGTCGACTCGAATATACCTAATATTCTTGAGTTATATTCTGATTACCAAATAGAATTTTATGAATAGATATGAATAAAATTGTGTATCATTTTTCGTGGGTTCCATGTTTTCAAGAGAAGAAACCTCGTTCGGTGTTTAGATGTGTATCTACATATAAATATGTTCTTATCCCAATGACATGGAGGTGATTTAACCAGCGAACAAAGGTCGAAAATGTATTGAGTCAAGTAGGTTTAGCGTAATTGCGCGACAGGTCAAATGTAAGGAATCGTCTATATTTGGAAAGATAGGTCCGCTGTATCGATGTCCCGGACGGTTTACGCGCAGGCTCGGTACAGAACTCCTCCTCCCTACAGGCTAGAGAGCTGCGTCTGTGAAATTCAGTCGTGAACTTGATTTATTCGGTGCATCACCAGTGCAATATTGTGCTAATAAAACGCCTCCATTTTGAATTAAGGACATAGGGTAAGGCCTAGTGCCTAACAAGGTACATAACTACTATTTAAATATTAAAAGATCACAAAATACGTCACAGTATCTGCTGCCATCAGCAAGAACCATCAATTAATCACTCTTTATTTTAAGAAAGTTTTTAGCAAATATTGAGAGAATACAGAGATTATTTGCGCCACTTGAAAAATTTGCTTTTACGTAATGGCGCTCTTATACAAATATCTAGAAACACTTTCTGGTCTGGTCTTTGTATTTCTGGTCATTTGAAATAATAGGTAAAATGATTTCATCAAAATGTAATATTAAAATTTTGTAATAAATAATTTGAAAACCGGTGTTTCATTATTTGAGTAAAACCACCTTACCTGATAAGTACCTACAATTATTTTTTTGTTTGTTTTAACAGCCTCTGTGCATTTTTATAGACATTGTCTAAAATAATTATTAAAACTCGTTCAATACGGTCATAGGTTTGAACGGTTCACACATATTGCGCAACCTTGATCCACAAAGATGGGTAAAGAGAAGACTCATATCAACATCGTCGTCATCGGCCATGTGGACTCTGGAAAGTCCACTACTACCGGCCATCTCATCTACAAGTGCGGCGGCATTGATAAACGTACAATCGAGAAGTTTGAGAAAGAAGCTCAAGAGATGGGCAAGGGCTCCTTCAAGTATGCTTGGGTAAGCAATTTTTTTCGCAGTCTTTTTTTTATAATTGAAGATTAACTGATGGCCCGGAGGCCTTTCCAATTTCACCAGGACAGGTGGGCGAGCAAAGGCTCGGCCAGGAGGGGTGGGATTTGCTAACAGCTGCCCAAGCGCCTCCGAAGGAGACCTAACAGCTCAAAAGCAGTTGCTTCGCGAATGAATCTACTACTACTAGAAGATCCGGCGAGAAACTCAGCGGGCTGATGCATGGGTTAGGTTGCACGTCGAACTTTTTGTCGAGTTCTACGAGTACCTACGGTTACCGGGGTAGTCTATTTTAGACAAGTACATTAAAGTATCAGATTCTGTTTTTATCTTAATTTTATTTCTCTATAGGTATTGGACAAGCTAAAGGCGGAACGCGAACGCGGTATCACCATTGACATAGCTCTCTGGAAGTTTGAAACCAGCAAATACTACGTCACCATTATTGATGCTCCCGGTCATAGAGATTTCATTAAGAACATGATCACGGGTACTTCCCAGGTTTGTTGATTTTCTCTGCATATCTTCTAGCTAAATGAAAGATCGTTAACAGGGATGTTGAATTTATTGTTATTACTATATTCAGGCTGATTGCGCAGTACTGATCGTGGCAGCCGGAACTGGCGAGTTCGAAGCCGGTATCAGTAAGAATGGACAGACTCGCGAACACGCCCTGCTTGCTTTCACTCTTGGCGTAAAACAACTTATTGTCGGCGTGAATAAAATGGACTCTACCGAACCGCCTTACCATGAGGCTCGCTATGAAGAGATTAAGAAAGAAGTGTCTTCTTACATTAAGAAAATTGGTAAAAAATATACTTGTATGAAATTTATTTGTTGTTACACCAATTTTTACTTGATTAAGTATCCTGTTTAAGGTTACAATCCCGCTACTGTGGCGTTCGTACCGATATCTGGCTGGCACGGTGACAACATGCTGGAGCCCTCTGATAAGATGCCTTGGTTCAAGGGATGGACCATTGATCGCAAGGACGGCAAAGTCGAGGGAAAATGTCTCATCGAGGTTCGTTTTCATTCCAAATCACCAAGTAATGTATACTTACGTTTCTTTTTTTATTTGAGAATTTTGTATTTATACTTTGTCGTAGGCGCTAGATGCGATACAGCCTCCGTCACGGCCAACTGAGAAGCCCCTTCGCTTGCCTCTTCAGGACGTGTACAAGATAGGAGGAATCGGAACGGTGCCAGTTGGACGAGTAGAGACGGGAATTCTCAAGCCTGGTATGTTGGTCCCCATCTCTGAATTGGATACAAACAAGACACGGATAATTGCATTTTGTATCTCTTAAACAGGTATGGTTGTGGTATTTGCTCCGGCAGCTATTACCACCGAAGTTAAGTCTGTTGAGATGCACCACGAGGCACTCCAAGAGGCGATGCCCGGCGATAACGTCGGCTTCAACGTCAAGGTACACTGTTAAAGATACGAATAATTTCATTTGAGAATTTCACTAAAGAACTATTCTAACATTTAACAGAACGTATCGGTGAAAGAATTGCGTCGCGGCTATGTTGCTGGCGATTCTAAGAACGCACCACCCAAAGGCGCTTCCGACTTCACTGCTCAGGTAGGAGGGACAGCGAGACAGATTTAAATTGAAAAGAGAAATTATAATACTATAATAATTGTGTATATAAAATAAAAGGTAGCTTTGAAAATTGCATTTTTATAATTAAAGGAAGCCTACGTTATTCAGCCATTCCTTGAATTGAACTTGGCAACATTTCTTTCATAAGTACGGTATTGAAAATTAATTTAAGATAGGCTATAAGGTTTTGTAACCATTGGCCGTAAATAAATTAAAAAAAAAATTACGGTATTTCAGGGATATATTATAAAACCTTCACTACCTGACGTTGGCAAGGTTGTACTTAAAATAACAAAAGCCAAAAAAAAACCAACGAGCAGTAATTAGATTAGCGTGTTTTAACGATTTTTGTTTTAAAAGTCAAAATTAATTTCTATTAGGTGATTGTGCTCAACCACCCGGGACAAATCAGCAACGGGTATACTCCGGTGCTTGATTGTCACACCGCTCATATCGCCTGCAAGTTCGCCGAGATCAAGGAGAAGTGCGACCGCCGTACCGGTACTAAATTAAACAATTCACAGCTTTTACTACCAACCAATATACGAATTGATGTCAGGGTTTTGGCAAATAAACCAGAACCTATTTAAATACGAGATATCAATACGAATTTGCAGCTGTTTACGCAGAATCAATGCTAGTTTAATTTACTTTAATCAGGAAAAACAACCGAAGTGGATCCAAAGTCGATCAAGTCTGGAGACGCAGCCATCGTGACTCTGGTGCCAACAAAGCCCCTGTGTGTCGAATCCTTCCAGGAGTTCCCTCCGCTCGGTCGGTTTGCTGTGCGCGACATGCGTCAGACTGTCGCCGTGGGTGTCATCAAGGTATACCTATTCACATTTCACTTACCACTTAACTCTAAGGGCTAAGGGCCTGTGCACACCACGCTTTTTAAACGAGCCGTCGACGCGCGTCGACTGCGCGCTTTTATCGTACAGAGTGATTTGTTGTCGTTTGTAACGATACAAAAGCGTATTTGAATGTATACAGGTGTGAAAAGGTCTACAGGCTGCGTTTGACTTGCGGACGTATCGCATCTGTATCGCTACAAACGCGCGTCGACAGCGCGTTTAAAAAACGTGGTGTGCACAGGCCTTAAATTACCAGTGTTCACTTTAAAACTTTTTTTTCTAGAGTGTGACATTCAAAGAAGTGACTACTGGTAAAATTACCAAAGCCGCCGAGAAGGCCCAGAAGAAAAAATAACTATGGGGCACATTAAAAAATATCTTGCAGCCAGTAACCATCGTCTGCGGAGCTGCAACGTTTTCCTTCTTCAATTTCCCTTTTGTCATCGTGTTTCCCCTGCGACTATGTCGGGAACGTTTTCTGCGCACACTAGAGAACGTTATTGGGCACAGGGCGCCGTACCGCGAACAGCCCCCTGAGGCTGGTTATATGGCGCAACAAGTGACCCCGCCGAGCCCCTCGACATCGCTGCCCCCTAATCGTGCGCAATTCCCCGTAGTAGTATCTCCTCTACATCGGAGCTTCTTCACTGGTGACAACACGCTCGTCATATACTTATGCATTTATCGTAGTATGATAATTTTTAATTTAGTTCAATTAAGTTACTCTTACGCTTTAAGTTTATGTGTTTGTGATTACTTTAGTCTTAAGATATTCGCCAAGTTTGAGTTCCCGTATCTTGAAGCTCGTCACGTTTTATTTTTTCATCGTAAAGAGTTTAGGAGGAAAGGCAATGGAGTGGTTGTTGAATTTTTAAACCGTTTCTACACATAGATAGATTTGAAGTTGATAACAAATTTTGTTCGTGATTAAATTTACAGTTCATTTACTACAATGACAATTATTTTGGAAAGCAGTTTAACAAAGCATCTTAATATTTTTCAAACATTTTAACATGGTAATTGAACTAACATCCGTTTCAAGATTGAACGAGACATTTTCGGTAAGTTAATTACGCTAGAATGAGGTTAAAGTGCGTTGACATCTTGTATTATAAAGGAGTTGGTTGTAAATCAACTATTTGTAGTTAGCAGAAAGAGTAAAGCGTTAAAAACGTTTTGAATTAGATTTTTGAAAAATGTTTGTAAGATGGTAAACAATTTTGGTTCCTAATAATAGGATTTTCTCTGTAAAATTTTTGTTTAAAGGTTTAAATATTCAATGTGAATCAGTCCATTTTTTTGTTATGAATTTTAATACCTACGTAATTATAATTGAAATATCTCGTTGTACATGTAACTTTGTAATTATTCCAATAATTTACACTTTAATCCTGATAAACCAATAAAGAAGCTACTGGTACTGTGTCCTCATGTTTATTCCACGAACCCTCTATATTTCGTGAGTTTGTTAAGGTGTAGCTTGCTTAATGCCTAGGTTTAAATCCCGATCAAAAGTAAGCCCTATTGGTATGTACCTGCTGCCTATAATAAATTTAATGAAGACAGTTTTCAAAGGGGAGGGGGTGGACTCTTAGTTGACCACATTAGAAATTAATATTAATTAAGGTTGTGAATTTTCAATTATCTTCCGGCTTCTGATCTCATCTCTTCTGGATTCAAAGATCTTCTGGCAAATAATACACAAAATGTCTGCCTTGTGTAGATGTGGTAGTTCAATAATAATGCAGTTCTTCGTTTATTATTTCTTCGATTACCAGGCTGTTAATAAAAACTACTCTGTATATTAAAAAATAAAATACCTCTATCGTGAAGTAGGTACACTACTACCACTTCGATAAAAAAGCACGACACGTGAATCCTCACATCATGGCCGCCGGAAACTACATAGCCAATCCTGCGGATCAAATGGTCGACGTCGCCAAAAAAACACGTTATTTCGGATCCTGCCGATCCATTAACGGTGCTTTTAGGTAGGTACCTCAAGCACTCTACCAGCTAAGGCGAGACTTTCGGCGCGCACCGCGGTACCGTAAGCTTCGTGTAGTCAGTGTGGTGGAGCTCGATGGGGCTTAGTCGGCAGTCGTTCTGCGGGGCAAGTGCTTCGCGCGCCTTTTTCAAGGCATAGTCTCCTGTGAGAAATTGGGGGAGGTGAAGGACCTCGGCCCTTCTCTTCTCCCCTTCTTCCTCTCAGGAGGCGCCGGAGTCCGACATAACCCGGTCCGTTACCCCCCTCGACCGGGTATCCTTAAATGGATTCCCCAGGTACCCCAAGCACTGGTCATCGTTCTCGTCGAACCCGGCGCTTGCAACGAAGGGCTCGGCGAATAAATTAACCCACAGACACAGCCCACTGAGTTTCTCACCGGATCTTCTCAGTGGGTCGCGTTTCCGATCCGGCGGTAGATTCTGAGAAGCACGGCTCTTGCTAGGGTTCGTGCTACCGACACCTACTAGTTAAGGTTACGCTGATATGGTCTCTCTAGATCAGGGGTCGGCAACCTGTTTGTCCTTAAGGGTGCATATTAACTTTGAAAATCACCGAGGGCGCATATTTTACAGATAATCAACAGGTATCAACAGTCAACAGGCATTAAAAAAAACAGATTTTTTATAACTTTATTTTTTTGGTGTAATACATAACGATACATATAATTCAGTGTGAAACTTGGGTGTCCATATTTTCAGCTAATTTCCTATAATTGGGGATATATTTAGAGTTCCCGGTCCTTAAACAATTATCTAAATGTGAGTCATTAAGCTTTGTTCGGTATTGAAAGAAAATAATAATTATTATAGTGTGTTGCAGTTGTCTCAGCGCTGGTGGACAATTATTTGTGTATTTATTATTATATAATTACAATGTACACTAACAATTAAGCTACCTACTATAGTTGTAGTGCCTCTTGTTTCTCTTCCACAATTATTCGTGTTATCGGCTGGTAGAAGCTGCACCGCATCAATATCTAAGCCACAGAGTAAACTAATTTGATGGCTACGTAGAGACGTTCGTCATTAAATATTTTCTAATTAAACGAATTTATGAAAAATTATTTTTCAGCGCCCCCCATTTTTTATACACCCCTAAAACTTTAAAACCATAATTTCATTAATTTCGTTAATAAATGTTCTATTAATTTTAGTAAATGTAGTACCACGTAGTACTAATTTGTAGATGGTAATATTGTTTCTTCATATTATTATATGTACGTACATTGCTACAGAGCGAGTATTTACAAATTTGCAAAGTAAAAATGAATTGATGAGATCAATATATTTGTTTAAATTCAGAATTACCAAAATACATTGCTATTTCACTGTACTATTATTGTACTAATTTATTAGAACGAAACTGTTTTTGTTGAATATCTTTCTGATTAATATAAGATTCTCATCATAAGATAATTAAAATTTTATATTTCGAATAGTAAATAATAATTAACAATAATAACTTATTAAAATAAATTAATATCATTTCGTATTATAGATAAATAAGGGTAATTTTTCATGGAATTTTAGTTTATAATTTAGAACTGGCTCAAATAAAAACCACCGCATAAGTCAGCGTTTTTATTATTTGTAATAATTAATATTTATAATAAAAGGTTGGGGACAGTCTTTTCGCATTATAATATGTATGAACTTGTAATAAAATCTCTTTGGCTATACTATTTGTATCTGGCTGGTTTTGGTATCATTAAAAGTTTAAATTCTAAAGAACATAATTCCAAATTAAAATTAGGAAGATGTGTGATTTTTATTTATTTTTCGTACTGTCAAGATGAGTGAATCTAATGCAGATATTCGATACATTTTAAAATATTAATACAATAAAGGTAAAAATGCAACGCAAGCCGTGAAAAAAATTTGCGATGTTTATGGACCTAGTGCAGTGTCTGTGAGAGTAGCACAAATTTGGTTTAAGCGTTTTCAATCCGAAATTTTTGATGTCAAAAATGTACGTTGCTCTGGTCGAGGGGTGCCGTCCTCCCGGGCCTAAGCGTAATCTGTTACGCAGACGACACGTTGGTCGTGGCCTGGGGGGGGAGTTTTGCTGAGTCTGTCCGTCTTGCTACCGCTGGGGTGGCGCATGTCGTCGACAAAATCAGGAGATTGGGCCTCGACGTGGCGCTCAGTAAATCCGAGGCCATGTGATTCCACAGGCCCCGGAGAGTGCCACCTGTCGATGCCCATATCGTGGTTGGAGGCATCCGTATTGGGGTCGGGGTGCAGTTGAAGTACCTCGGCCTTCCCAACGTTGGGGGGCCTGACCAGGTGACGCGTCGTCTCTATACAGCGGTGGTGCGATCAATGGCCTTATACGGGGCGCCCGTGTGGGGCCAGTCCCTGGCCGTAGCGGTAGCGAAGCTGCTGCAACGGCCGCAACGCACCATCGCGGTCAGGGTTATCCGCGGCTATCGCACCATCTCCTTCGAAGCGGCGTGTGTACTGGCTGGGACGCCACCTTGGGTTCTGGAAGCAGAGGCGCTCGCCGCTGACTATCAGTGGCGGGCTGACCTTCGTGCCCGGGGCGTGGCACGTCCCAGCCCCAGTGTGGTCAGAGCGCGGAGGGCCCAATCTCAGTGGTCCGTGCTGGAGTCATGGTCCAGACGGCTGGCCAATCCTTCGGCTGGTCGTAGGACCGTCGAGGTGATTCGCCCGGTTCTTGTGAATTGGGTGAATCGTGACAGAGGACGCCTCACTTTCCGGCTCACGCAGGTGCTCACTGGGCATGGTTGCTTCGGTGAGTTCCTGCACCGGATCGGAGCTGAGCCGACGGCAGAGTGCCACCATTGTGGTTGCCACCATTGGACTTGGACACGGATTTCGCCCAAGCCCTGGCCCTCTAAGTGTTTCGGGTCTCCCTCACATGTCGGCTTGGGGACCGGTGAAGGGGACCTAAGAAGACGACGCGCAAGCTGCTCTGCACGCGTTTTATGCAAGAGCGTCCGGGTGATGAAAGGCCGGCTATCCTCAACCCACGCTGGTTCTGACCCAGCGGGGTATTCCGTAGGGTAGACCATTCTAACCGGCGCCATCTAGGCGGGCTTCGAATAGCCTGCTGACCGAGAGGGCTGGTGGTCGTGGCGCTGACGACCGCCACTCCGGCGTCCCGAGAGGGAGGGTGATGGGAGAGATGTGCTCCGCACTAAACCCTTCGCTTTCCCCCCTTTGCCTTTTCATGAGTTCTGTCTCATACGAGGTTTGGATGCTGGTTGTTGAGCGACAGGAGGTTTTAGTCGGTTCAACTCCGACATGCCCCGCCCTCCATCCCCAGTGGAGGGCGGAAGTCTGGTGATTTCCTCCTGACAAAAAAAAAAACGTCGCTCTGGTCGCCCTATTACGAAAAATCGATGCCATTTTTAAAAAAGTGGAGCAAGATGGGCATATCAGTAGTTACGACGTAGATAAAGAACTGGGAAATGACCACAAACAGTTTTGGTGCATTTGAAAAAAAATGGGTACACAAAAAAGCTCGATATTTGGATACCTCACGAGCTCACTGAAAGGAACCTAACGAGCCGTGTACTCATTTGCGATTCTTTACGTGTACGACGTAATGAAACCGAACCATTTTTTGAATAAGCTTATAACTGGTGATGAAAAGTGGATCACGTACGACAAGAACGTGCGAAAAGGGGCGTGATCAAAAGCCGGTCAGGCTTCACAGACTGTGGCGAAACCCGGGTTAACTCACAACAAGGTGATGCTGTGTATGTGGTGGGATTGGAAGGACATTATTCATTAGGAGCTGTTACCACCAGGCAGGACCATCGATTCTGAACTCTACTGCGAACAGCTGATGAGATTAAAGCAAGAGGTTGAGAGAAAGCGGCCGGAATTACTCAACAAAAGGGGTGTGGTTTTTCATCACGATAACGCTAGACCTCACACAACTTTAGCCACTCAGCAAAAATTAAGAGAGCTTGGCTGGGAGGTGTTAATGCATCCGCCGTATAGTCCTGACCTTGCACCTTCAGATTTCCACCTGTTTCGGTCTCTTCAGAATTCTTTAGACAGTGTCAGGTTAACATCACGAGAGGACTGCCAAAACCAATTGCGCGACAATTGGTATTTTGATCAGAAGCCCCAAAATTTCTATAGCAATGGGATCATGTCCCTACTTACATGATGGCAAAAAGTTATCGAACAAGATTGTACCTACACACTTTAGTTAAATGTAAATAAACTATATGAAAAAATGTTGTGAATTTTCTTAAAAAATGCGAAGAAACTTTTCCCCAACCTATTATTATATAGAAATAGTAAGCAATGCTTACAATAAGTGAGCTGTTTAGGCTTACTATACTATTTGACAAAGGAAGGTAATGGGTTAATTGTAAAAAAAAAATTCTAAGACAACTTTTTGAACAATAATTATATACGTATTTCCATTTTATAAAAAAATATGATTATTACATCAGTAATTTCTTATAAAATGCTAGGAAAATCCTGTAAAATGCCCTTATGTTAAAAACAAGAAAGAAAGTAAAGAAAACCTCAATTTATGTTAGTTTACGTATGTATAATATTTTAAAACTCTGCATGGTAGTTTTTTTTCGTAGTAGTAGTATAATATTTAAAATAATTTCTGGTGCAATGTAATTAAGGTTAAATTGCTCTAATTTTTTAACTATCATCGATCTTGTTCCTTTATCCGTAGAAACTTGTTACAACTTGATTGCGTACGGTTTGCGGGCTATCCTACGAAATCTATGTTAAGTATTTTAAGTTTTTATAACATGATACAGGGTAGAAATATAAACTAATTATTTGTTACTGTGTAGTAGGTGGGTTTTAATTTTAGTGAAATTTAAAATACTATATAAACTAAATGAAATTACAAATTGTACATCGCCCCCCTAACCCACATCAACGCCCCCCATTTTTTTCTGGGCTCCTTAACGCCCCCCTCTAGGTTTCAAACGCCCCCAAGGGGGCGTTATCGTATGGGTTTACCCACTGAAGTATATGGGCTCTATTAATAAACATGATAACAGATCATCATATTACTATAAGAGTATATATTTTACACGCTTAACATGAAATTAAATGCTCATCTCGACATTCGTGAAAAAAATCTTCACACTAGTCTGGGTCGACAGCAGTGGAAGTGCCACAATGGATGTGCCACAATGTTTCAGGTAATATATTATTATTGTTTAAATTTTACTAAGTAGGTACCATAATAAGATAAAAGTATATTATTGTTAATACATATAAATAGACATTTTTATTTCTTAACTTTATTAACTTCTGACAAAATATTTTGTATTTACTTCAATTTATGACTTCATATATTGCATTCGTGGTGCAGGTGATAGGTAATGCAGGCCGTTATATATATTAGGTGTATTATTTATGGGCCGAAATATAGTTTGTGATTTACTCCTACGCGAAATAACTGAAAAATAGATTCTTTATGTACCTACATAGTTAATTATCTGTGTCTAGTTAGGTAGAATGATGGTTGGGGACTTTTTGGCGGGAACGCCAGGGGTGATGTTGTGTGATTTCTTTTATTTTGTCTAATTAGTGTTTCTTCAGGTTTAAATGTGTAATAAGCTGGTTTATTAACTATTTAGTATCTGTGGAAATGAAACAAAGCCGCTGAACGTAACTTCTCGGGATCTTCCAAAAAGTCTCAGTAAATACTACTATACTTCATCCCATATCATCTCATCTCATTTCATTTAATTCGTGTTCATTTTATGCCATATTTCATAATAATCAACTTCATTTCATTTCATAATATCATTTTTCATATAAAAAAGTTATCATTTAAATTAAATTAAGACTTGACCTAAAGGTCTTAGTTACCAGGTCATAAAATCCCTTAAAAAAATGATAGTTGACAACTGGCTGTTGTCAGTTGATTTGAGTTGATTTGACACTTTTGACAGTGAAACACATTTGACATTTATCAATTCATCTCTGGATTTTGGTAGGTAGTGGTTCGGTTTTGCCGCTGATATTTAATTTTACGTTATACAGGCTTGATAACGAAACGCGATGACGTGTGAATGGCCGTAAGTGAAAGTAAATTTTAGTGGTAGGAGCAATACGCGTAGGCCTTCAATATTAGTTCTGTATTTGTGTAGTTGCAGTCTCTCGCGCTCAGTGGTCACGTTCACTCGGATCCCTCAGTTTTATTTACGATGTGTGGAATATTTGCGTACATTAACCATTTAACACCTAAGACCCGGCGTGAAATTTTAGAACTACTTGTCAATGGACTTAAACGTTTAGAATACCGCGGTTATGATTCAGCCGGTGTAGCTGTGGATTCCGCGGATCAGAAAGACATAGCTGTTGTTAAGCGAAGCGGTAAGGTAGCCGCATTAGAAGAATTGCTGCAGGAACGTAGTATTGAACTATCAGTTGAAGAATGTGTGGACTCTCATTGTGGAATAGCTCACACTCGTTGGGCAACTCATGGGGAACCAAGTGCTGTTAATTCTCATCCACAACGGTCTGGCGAGGACAATGCTTTTGTTGTTATTCATAACGGTATCATTACAAACTACAAGGAAGTCAAGACTTTTCTTGAGAACAAAGGCTACATATTTGAATCACAAACAGATACTGAAGCAATTGCTAAGCTGATTCATCATATTTATAATCAGCACAAAGAAAGCAGCTTCCAAGAATTAGTTGAACAGGTAATTCAACAACTTGAAGGAGCTTTTGCTTTATGTTTTAAGTCACGCTACTTTCCTAATGAGTGTGTTGCGACCCGCCGTGGAAGTCCCTTGCTTGTTGGAATTAAGACACCTCGTAGGTTGTCCAGTAACCATGTTCCAATTATGTACACCAACAATAAAGCTACTAGAGGTGTAGTGCCTCCTGTTCCTAGAGTCAATAGTCATGCTCACTTTGAGCCAGAGGAAGAAAGAGATGTTGAATATTTCTTTGCTTCTGATGCATCTGCTGTTATTGAACATACAAATAGAGTACTTTACTTTGAAGATGATGATGTTGCTCATATCAAGGATGGTGTCCTTAGTATTCACCGAATGTCCGGTAGCAGCAATGATCCCCATGAAAGAGAAATTTTTACTTTGAAGTTGGAACTTCAACAGATTATGAAGGGAAATTATGAATATTTCATGCAAAAAGAAATATTTGAACAGCCAGAGTCCATTGTAAATACAATGAGGGGCAGATTAAACTTTGCAAATGGTACTGTTACTTTAGGAGGTATTAAAGATTATATTCCTGAAATTAAGCGCTGTCGAAGACTTATGTTAATAGGATGTGGTACAAGTTACCACAGTGCTGTAGCTACCCGACAGCTTTTGGAAGAATTAACGGAGCTACCAGTTATGGTGGAGTTAGCTTCTGATTTTCTAGATAGAAACACCCCTGTTTTCAGAGATGATGTATGTTTCTTTATCTCTCAGTCTGGTGAAACTGCAGACACACTTATGGCTCTCCGATACTGTAAACGCCATGGTGCCCTTATTGTTGGAATAACAAATACTGTTGGAAGTTCAATATGCCGTGAATCACATTGTGGTGTTCATATCAATGCCGGTCCTGAGATTGGTGTTGCTTCTACTAAGGCATACACTTCTCAGTTTGTTTCATTGGTCATGTTTGCTTTAGTGATCAGTGAAGATAGAATTTCACTACAAAAAAGACGTGCTGACATTATAGAAGGTTTACATGAGTTGGATTCAAAAATTCGCCAGGTTCTTGCCTTAGATGAAGAAGTCAAAGCTTTGGCGCAAGATCTTTATCGACAAAGATCACTCTTAATAATGGGCCGAGGTTACAACTTTGCTACATGCCTAGAAGGTGCACTCAAAGTTAAAGAACTAACCTACATGCACAGCGAAGGAATTATGGCAGGTGAATTGAAACATGGGCCTCTAGCACTCATAGATGATTCAATGCCTGTTATGATGATAGTGATGCGTGACCCTGTTTACATAAAATGCATGAATGCTCTACAACAAGTAACAGCACGTCAAGGTCGTCCAATAGTAGTCTGTGAGGAGGGTGACACAGAAACAATGGCACTGGCATCACAAAGTCTCCAAGTGCCTAAAACAGTTGATTGTTTACAAGGTGTCCTAACAGTTATTCCTATGCAGCTTCTGGCCTACCACATTGCTGTTTTGCGTGATTGCAATGTTGACTGCCCGCGCAATCTCGCAAAATCCGTTACAGTGGAATAAGGTTATTATATCTTTGTAGATAAACTTATACTCAGTGGTGTACATTGAGAAAGGCCTATGTCCAGCAGTGGATAACTGTGGACTGATGATAATCAAAGTTATACTCATTAGTATAAACTTAAAATTTGAAACTACCAAACTTTCAATGATAATTTGTATGAAAATGTACATGGTTTGTACACACATGTTTTCAATCTTGAGTTAAATATTCAAAATTCAAACAATTCAGTCTTAGTTTATTAATTTTCATTCAGAAACGCAATAAGCAGAACTGTTAACTTTTGATTAAACGTTTTAGTACCTTTCCTATTACTTTTAACTTTAGGGAACCATTTAGTGTATTTTCAGGAATGAGTCCCAAACTACATTTATTTCTTAACCTTTAAAGAAACATTCCTAATGATAATTTTTATACTTCTTCTATAACATTCCGTGAATTGTGAATTCAACGCAAATTTGTTGCTATCAAGGCCATATTCCCTTTATTTTTGTGATGTTATGCGGCCCCGCCCATTCACTTAAAGTGTTCAAACATAAATAAAGAATGAAACAAATATTAGAGTAATTTCAAAAACGGGAATTAATTTAGCAATTTTATTTGGTGCAGTCTATATTTTTCTTAAATTTTACTGTTAACCTTATAATGACAAAGTACTAAGTTAAATCATATATTAACAATAAAATGTTCTTCAAATACCTATTAATTATTTAAGTAATCGAATAAATATATTAGTAACAACCTTAAGAAATCAGAATTAATAGGGCCTAGTTCATTAGTACTTTCTGTTATCGTTGATACCTACGTCGATATCGTAATTGAACACAAATTAAAAAAATAACCTTGTTTAAAATCACCGACCGATCTGATAAGTAATTTGCGGAAAACGTTTATCTATATCTGCTTGTTTATGGCAATAACTTAAAAATGAAATCTTCGCAGAAATCACTTTTATTAATGTAATCTAAAAGCAGATTAGTTACATGAAAAAAAAAATACCTGACATCACAGTATGTAAAGAGATTCGATAAATATAACTGATTGAAATTTGAAAGATTATATATTTTTAGATTTTTATAAAAAATTGAAGTGTTTGTTGTGTAAATAATTATTGTGGAATTTTATTACTTAATACTTAAAATTAATGCTCTTTAATATGAATATTAATTCGTATGCTCAGTATGTAAATTCAAGCGGCAGAACATTAAATATAACTTAATTTCAAAGTAGTATAACTGCATATTGCGTTATCACATTGGGCAACGACAGGCTGGGTCATTAAAGAAATTTTTATTCAAGTCTAATATCGTGATGTCTGTTTAAAATCTGAATAATTTTGTACATAGCGCCGCCAATTATTTTGAATAATCAAGTTCATGCGTTAAGGTAGTAATTTTTGTGTAAATGTGTAATAGAAAAACCAAAGAGTCATGAATTCATGATTCACAAAACAATAAAATGTCACATATGAGTCGTCTATTATCAAAGGTGGCAATCTGTGCATTTGGACAAAAAAATGTTATTGATATGTCAATACAGATTGATTTGAATATAATCGTCTCCTTCAAAGAATACGGTTCAAAACCTGCATTAAATAAAGGTTAATACTTAACCTGTTATTTATCTAAGATGTCGTTCAGAAGAGTTTTGTGACTGCCAATGGAATACAAAGTCAATAATTCGTTTTTCTGATTTACCAATAATTGTCCAAAAGTCACATTGCCGGCTTTGATAATAGTCGACTCATATATAGAATATTGAATAATCTTAGCTGTAAAATTTCATCATGGAGTAAATAAAATTTAAACTTTTACCGAGCGATCAGCCATTGAAGTGTCCAGTGCAGCTTATTGTTAGGTTAAAGATAAGGGCTAAATTTAATTAGCAAAACGATTAGATTTTAGCGTTGGATCTTAGTGTTACCGATTATCGTTGTTACAGGCTGTTGAGAAAAAAATTACAAATTTTATTTTTAAATTTCGAAATCTCGCAATTTTCTTTTAACGTAAATGTAACGTACCTATCTTAAGTTTGGGTTTAATCAAAGTTTTATTATTGGTTTTAAGGAATCTTGTGAACCGGCGTGGGCAGGTATCACCCTGCCTATTTCTGCCCTGAAGCAGAGTAATGCGTATCGATTTGAAGGGTGGGGCAGCCTTTGTACTGTAAAAAATTCGAACTCATGTCTCAAGGTGGGTGGCGGTATTTACGTCGCTGATGTCTATGGGCTCGGGGATCACATAACACCAGGTGGGTCGTAAAAGCATCCACCCATCTTAACTTAAAATACCAAGACCATATTTTTTATAAGTTTTTTTTTTTTTTAAATAACCTATTAAAGTTTGTGAACAGCTAATTAAATCCTATATCAAAATATTGATTAAATTGTTGGATCTTTCCTCAACCCTATTGTTATTATACATACTGTTTTTGCGAATTTTATTTCGTGCTTTGCACAAATACAAGTTTTTACATTTCAATGCTGTGCTTTTTTAATAATTTGTACTTTAATTTGCACAAGTCGTATAAATATAAGTTTTTACATTTCAATGCTGTGCTTTTTTAATAATTTGTACTTTAATTTTAAGAACTACATATATGATTTAAGAGATTTAAACATTGATATACCTACTTAAAAATCCAAGACGATTGGATTGTTAATATAATGAGCCAATATTCTAAATCTAAGCTAGCTTGAGCTAATCACTAGTCAAAATTTTTGTTTGTGAAGATTAGGTTGGGACCTATAAATCTGTCTGCAAATTTGAGTACCAAAAGTAAAAAATGCTTCAACAATATCCACTATTCCAGAATTTGCGTTAAAATCAATATCCACTATTCCAGAATTTGCGTTCAAATAAGTTTATTTTATAACGTACGTATTCCTTACGGAAACATTTTTACAAGATACATGGTGAACACATATTATTATGACTAAATTTGCAAGCAGACTAAAATGGTGCAATATATCACAAGTTGGTGAAAAAAAAAGAACCTGTCGAAATAAAAAAAAATTGGAAAAGATTGTGATAATTCAGACACTAAATCATTTGTTGGAATACTCTACGCAGTACATTAAAATATGTTAAAGATTAATTTTAGTTAAGTATTTTATATGTTAATGAATATGTTACAATATATTAGATGACGCAATTTAAAAGGATCTGTAAAACAGAAGTGTTGCATTAGACCTTAATATTATATGTTATTTTTTCATATTCTATACATTTTAAAATATAATACAAAGCTTCTATTAAAATCGCGTTTTCCTAATCTACCATACCCTACTCGACGACGACTCGACTAAGTCGACGCCACTTCTCAAGGATGATGGCATTTATGCGTGGTGATTTCCGGTGCTGTAGGCATAGTCTAGGTAAATTGAATACCGCTTTAATCTATGAAGATTGCGCTCCCGGTATGCCAACTCCCATCTTGACTTAAGAGGTCAAAGTCGGGTTAAGTTGACTGCATTAACTTCACTTCGATAAAGCGGCACGACACGAGAACCCTCTCATCGTGGCCGCCGGTAACTACATTCCCGATCCTGCGGACAGAATGGAAAGCAGCCGACGTCGCCCAAAACACGTCATCTCGGATCCTCCCGATCCACTAACCGTGCTTCTAGTCGCATATTTAAACCCTGTATCTATTCCACGTCCACTTTAACGCTACTTATTTATGTCTTTTATTTATTTATTTTTTATTGCTTAGATGGGTGGACGAGCTCACAGCCCACCTGGTGTTGAGTGGTTACTGGAGCTCATAGACATCTACAACGCTTAGTACCTATAGTTACAACGGCTACCCCACCCTTCGAACCGAAATTCATTACTGCTTCACGGCAGAAATAGGCGGGGTGGTGGTACCTACCCGTGCGGACTCAAAAGAGGTCCTACCACCAGTAAAATCATCCTGCCTCACACCATGGTAGCCTATTACTATTGATTTTCCGGCATCGGCACTACTTTAAATTTCCTCTGATGTACCCAGCATTTTAGTTAAATATCCACTTAACTAAAGTAATTTAATAATTTGGTTCACTCTTCACACGATTGTCTATGCTTTGCCTTTGTCCAATCTCAGTGCATGTAGAGTTAGAAGGGTTCATAACGATAGGAACTACAAACGAATCCTAAGTGTAAGCTCACATCCACGATGACCAACCAGGCGGTTAATGCAGAGATATGATTGTCAAACTCGTGCACATTATCGGTATATCCTGATAGGTAAATATAAATAATATAAATGTAATAATCGCGCGTTAATAAAAAAAATCTGGTTGACCGTGTGACCTTTGGCCAGATAAAACTGGTTCGGTTACCACAAAGGACTTATTTGAATCTTATGCAAATATTTTGTATTCCAAACAGTACCTACTTACATAATACCACAGCTTTAAAATCCCCAAAATCTGATGGACATTGGTAGTCCTTCGAAAAGTTACATTTAGATTTGCGTTTTCCGAGGATGTAATTTTATTTTTTTGATTTCTAGGAGGGGTTAGTATCAGCTTAAGTTCAAGTTTTTATTTTTATTGCTTTGGTAGGTGGACGAGCTCACGGCCCACCTGATGTGAAGTGGTAACCGGAGCCCACAGACATGTACAACGTAAACGCCGCCACCTACCTTGAGATATAAGTTCTAAGGTTTCAGTATAGTTAGGTACAACGGCTGCCACACCCTTCAAACCGAAACGTATTACTGCTTCACAGCAGAAATAGCCGGGGTGGTGGTTTCTACCCGTACGGACTCACAAGACATCCTACCACCAGTAATTACGCAAATTATAATTCTGTGGATTTGATTTTTATTACACGATGCTATTCCTTCACCGTGGAAGTCAATCGTGAACATTTGTTAAGTACGTATTTCATTAGAAGCATTTGGTACTTGCCAGCGGGATTCGGACACCATCGCATCGCTAGATACGAATGCACCGGACGTCTTATCCTTTAGGCCACGACGACTTGTGGTGTCTACTCTCAACATTGTAGATCTCTATGGGTTCCAGTAACCACTTAACACCAGGTGGGCTGTGAGCTCGTCCACACATCTAGGCAATAAAAAAAAAAGGGCATTTTAGCGTAACCCTAACAAGTAGGTGAGCTTGCGGGGCTCAAACCTGACGATGATTGTTTTGCAATCCACAACTCCCGAATAGACAACTCTCACTAGTGTTAATAGACATAAATTCGCTTCAGTACGTATGTTCGATTGCACAAGCATGTACTGTAACCCCATACACAAATAAATCTTCAACATTACCTAAGTACAATAAAGTGCGGCAGTCAAAAGACAAAATATGGAATAGACAGTGTTAAAATCATTAATACAACATGAATCATTTTTCGAACGCGCATGCTTGTTTGACAGTAAGCATATGTTCAGAATATAGCGGCGGGAGCTCCCTTATCCTTGGTGAGGTCTAAAAGCGGTAGATACCTACCCCTTTCCATTAAATATATTCTCGCTTGTTTAACGAGGCAATATTTTATTTATGAATTACTAGTTTTAGTTCTTTCGACGACTTTATAATTTGGCTTGGAGTATCATATCGAATCCTATACGAGAGGTAGGTACAGAGATATTGTTCTGTGTAAAATATGTCTAAATTCATCTTGAATATTAAAATACTGTGCTTTAAAACGACATGTGAGTCGACTATTATCAAAGCCGGCAATGTGACTTTTGGACAATTATTGGTAAATCAGAAAAACGAATTATTGACTTTGTATTCCATTGGCAGTTACAAAACTCTTCTGAACGACATCTTAGATAAATAACAGGTTAAGTATTAACCTTTATTTAATGCAGGTTTTGAACCGTATTCTTTGAAGGAGACGATTATATTCAAATAATCTGTATTGAAATATCAGTAATTTTTTTTGTCCAAATGCACAGATTGCCTCCTTTGATAATAGACGACTCATGTAACCTCTTTCCCTAACTATGGTCGTAAATTGATACTGCGGAATATCCAGTGTTGGTTTACGATAATATTCAGCATCAAGTCATCGGCCAGCATCAATCAACTTCATCAAGCATGACCAATAGCCCTCCTTCAGCTCAGACTTCAACCTGTTAAGTTAAGCGTCTAATTAATTAAAACGTAAACGTAATAAATATTTCAATTTGTTAATTCTCACCAACAACCAAATTACAGTATTAAAAGCGTTTAAAAAGGGTGCCTCTTGGCAAAGGACATCATAAACTGTGAAGGCTTGACTTTTTTGTTTTGGTCTCTTGTTTTGTGATAATATAGCACGACTCCAGACAAATCGCCAAATGTATCACTAAGAGATGAAGATGAGGCTCCATGAAATAAATTATGATCTTAAGTATGTAGGTATAGGTACTATAAAAATTAGGAAAAAAAGTACAAATGCACGTAACTGGTGTACTTCTTGTTTGGAGGTCTTGTCAAGGTATTTTTTATTGGACATTATTTATGAAAGTTGAAATAGGTATTTTGCTTAGGTAATGTAGACATAAGTTGTAGGAGCCTGCAATTGTTGCGCAGATTGTTCAACTCGCACG